CTTGAAGCCTAATGTGGGACTAAAACTCACAGTCATGCAGTTTCTATTCTGGTGCCTTACACACTACAACAAACGAGCTGTCTTTTAACCTTTGGTTTTTTTTTTTAATTTTCCTGTGCCTCCTATTTCTCCTCATATACCTGAACCTTTCTTCATTTTCTGATACATTCATTCCCCCCCACCCTTCATCTCTGCTAGGTGGTCCAAATTTTACATTCCTTTGACACCAACTTCCCCTAACCCAGGGGTAGGCAACCTTGGCTCTTTTATGACTCGTGGACTTCAACTCCCAGAATTCCTGAGCCAGCAGAGCCAAGGTTGCCTACCGCTGCCCTAACCCAATGTTCTTCAGATGTGCTAGGATTGCAACTTCAAAACATTCCCATCTTTCAAGAATTCTGGTTCAAAATTTGGGACTTGCAGTGCCTTCACATCCAACATGTGACTGGCTGCTTTGATACATGAAATACATGTAGTACAGCCAGTCTCTGAATTATGACCACTCATTCAGTTATTGTTCAAAATAACAATGATGCTGAATGAGTGGTACTTAGGACCAGTTGTTCCAGCACTCTATATTCATGTGATTGTGACTCAGGCGCTTGGCAACCAGCTCACACTTACATGATCACTATTTGTGACCTTCCCTGCTGGCTGCCCACAAGCAAAATCAATTCCCACACTCCATAACATCCACGCACCCTCATTCTGTAGTGCAGTGGTTCTCAACCTGTGGGTCGGGACCCCATTTGGGGTCGATCAACCATTTCATGGGGGTCGCCAAGCAAGGCTGTCCGCCATTTTTTTTGTCCGCCATTTTTCCCCCTTTTTCGGCGGGTGCCTTACCTCCCTTGGGCTGGGCCAGCTGGTGGTCGGCCTGCTCCATCTCTGCCGCTTGCCAGCTACGCCTCGGCCGGCGCAGGGGGTGGAACCACGCATGCGCGGTGCTCCCGGGCAGGGAAAGTCCGCGACTTACGACCAGTTGGGTAGTCCTCGACTTACAACCGGTTTAGTCCTCGACTTATGACCAGTTTAGTTCTCGACTTATGACCGCTTTAGTCCTCGACTTACGACCGGTTGGGGTCGTGGCATTAAAAAGGTTGAGAACCACTGCTGTAGTGCCTGCCATGGTACCCCCTCAACAACCTCTCCTTTCCTGGGACTCCCACCTCTTTCCATCTAGCAACCTGTGTGATTCTGGGGTTACGATGGCAACTGGGTTTGCCAGGATTGACATCATACTTTACTGTCACATCACTTAGTGATGCAGGTTCCAGTCCCAATTGCCATTGAAACCCAAGGACTTAAGTTGATAGTTAAAATGACTTTTAAGAAGAATATGGCCAGTAATAATCTCTTATGGGTCTTTTTACTTGTGTAAGAGTTTATTTTACCGGTGATATTTCTCTTAGGTATCAGGCTATTTCCACATTAGTATCGTTATTCATCGTCATGCTAAACTTAAATATTTCAACTATTATGGTTAAGCTGTTTATATCAGAAAGATTACATTGATATTTTCAGAAGAAATTAGCTTATTATATGCCACATTTATAGTCCTACATGATTCTTGTTTTCTTGCTGATATGCTTTTCTCTTTCCCTCGAATCAGCTCCAATCTTTTATTTTTGAGAGAGGAAATAGTACTAATATTTTATTGGTGTTTAAATAGATTCATTTTGCCTGCAATTAAAAGAGAAAAAATAATTTTACAACAGGTCTTAAACAAAGAAACTAAATTGTTGGTAAATGGCAAACAAGTAAGTTGTTTCTTGTGGAGCTGTATCTTTTTCTTTTAATCGTACCAAAAAATAGACAGATTTCCCAGCCTCGCATTCCAATTCTAGAGCTTTGGCTTCTTTTGCTGTTGACAGAAAGGAGATACTATCAAACAGCCAGGAATGTGAGATCATTTTTGCAGGGTTGACACTTGCAACTTGTTATGGCTCATGCACAAAACTGATTCACAATAAGAGGTCTATCGGTCTTGAGTTACTGTGGCTCATGTAATGAATATCAGCCAGCTGATGGTGGCAAAGGGGGAATGGGATAGGATTGCCTTAACCATAGCTGGAATGTCAGCACTTTGTCAAAGAAAGTGATGGATGATTACATCATGAACACAGTTGCTTTAGTGGGAAAGTTAGATGAACATTCAATTGGGACTCTTCAAGGACTGGATATCCCCCGAAACAAATGGTAGCTGTCACATTTCCATTTCTGCAAAGAACTATCCTTATGTCACCATCAATTTCATGCCCTGTTTCTATAATAGTGATTTAATTAGGCTTCTGTTGAGATAATCACCTACATTGTTTGCCTTTCTTCAACAGAAGTTTAAAAGACCCAAGTAAATCGTGGAAGTTTGAATTTGCTCAATTTCCTGCAGAAGGAGAGGTCAAGAGGTCCCAGACTGTAGACACACTTTTCAGGCAGGCAGCAGGGGGTTGGCTCTTAATGGTGCTTCTGCCATGCCTAAATGCTCTTTTGAAATGTTATTCTCAAATAAAGGAACTTGATTTTTGAGGAGTTCACTCTTGGGTGTCACAAAGTTGAACGTATTCTTTAAATTTTTTTTCCCATTTCTGTAAAGTTTTTACATTTTTTTTATGACTAGATGATACCACAACCCATCAAGGCCTGTGCAAAATGTATTTTTCAATGATCATTCATGCAAATAAAGTGCCTCTCTTCGAATAGTTAAAGCAGCTGTATCTTTTGCGAGGCTTGCAGAGTTGCCTTAAAAATTGGCTCCTGTTATTTCCTCGTGTTTCCTTATGAAAATGTTCCAATCAAAGCAACTGTTAACATGGGTGGGGCAGTATATTTTGAGTTCATTCTACTGCCAGATAAACAGTGGGTCTATTTAAGGAAGCTTTTGAGGTGATAGTATGGCAGCATTATTTCTTTATCAGTGAAGTACTAGATGAGAGTTCTCTTATATTGGTTTAGTTGTTTTTTTGTTTGCATTATAGCAACCTGAGATAGGCAACTGGTTCCCTCCAGATGTTTTGGATTACAGTTCTCATAAACTGCAGCCATCAAGGCCAGTGGTCAGGTATGATGTAATTCATAATCCAGAGCATCTGGAAGCTAGGTTTCTACTGTAGCATTAGCTTTCCTTGTTCTCTTTTAATTGCTCTTGGCATTTTTAATTAATAGTTGATTTTATGAGGAAAAGAAGAATAGAGAATTATAGAGTCCGAAGAGGCTTCAAAGATCAGCAGTTCAAGCTTGCTTATGCAAAAAAAATGATTACTATAAAGCTGATGAGTGGCTAAATTCTATTTAAAATTATTCACCAAGAATTCGCCAACTATTATCAAAGAATTCATAGACTGATCATCCTCCATCAAACAAGCCTTACTTTTAAGATATTTTTCCTAATCCTTAATCATATGTCCAGAACATCGCAAACCATTTCCTGTTTGGGAAGATGCACTTTTGGAAATGGATAATCCAGTCCTGGAATGCTCAGTTCATCCTGTTCCAAGGATAAGCCATGGAGTCCTGCACACAGCTGCAATCATATGGACCATGTATTAGCATTTAAAATGAGGATCTAGCCATTTTATCTTCTAAAGCAAATTATTTTATTTCTGAACAAAAAAATAGCGTAGATGTGAAGATCTACGTGAAGATCTACTGGGAGGGATAGCGTGAAGATCTACTGGGAGGGATCTTCTCCTTGACATTTTTATTCATATTCAGCAAAATACATTGCATGTCCCTTTTCAGACTCTACTGAATTAAAAAAAAAAGAGGGATTGCATAATTGCTGTTCCATTTTAAAAAACAAGCCGCCTTATATACAGTATTACAGAAGGAAAAAAAGGAGGCAATCAGAGGAAATATGAAGATTTTTAAAGTATATTATACCATCTTTCCATTGGTCTTAAGCCAGATAGCACTATACTATTCAAATTACTGCAATTTTCTAACAATACAGTTTGTGTGTATTCTTTGTCCTCTCCACATATGGACATTGTCATGTGCTTTGGAGTGTAATCCCATATACTTTGGGGGTTTTAATATGGAACTGAAATTTAAGAAGAACTCAAATATTAAGCAAAGAAATTTACTTGCCCAGATCTTTTATGGTATTTTGGATAATTGTGACTTTTAAAAAAGTGAAAAACCTTTTTGGCCAGCCACAGTTTTCCTAGTGTTTTTATTGAGTCCAGATTCAGTGATCCCCATTAATATAGCTATTACTTTTGTCTTTTGTCTTTCATCTTTCATGCCAGTGTAGTAACTAGGAAGGGAAAAAGGTGTTCATAAATGTTTTCTTCTGCAATTCCATGTTATTGTGCTAATGGCATCTGTATCCTGTGTTTAGTTATATTGGCAGCACTGAAAAATTAACCTTTAAAGTATTTAGAGGTTATTCTTGATGAAGCCAAAGGATACTAAATAAGTGTGAAGTTTTATATATCTTCTTATGTTCTTTTACTGCTTAAGTAGTTAATATTTAGAACCATGAAACAAATCTATTTTAGTTAAGTTAATGTTTTTTTCTTCTATATAGGACAAAGAAGGTCTTTCCCTTTTATTTGTGCCTACTTTCTGCCAGGTTTATGAGATTGCCTGTCATTATTTCATGTTCTTCCAAAATTGTGGCCTTCGGCTGCTTATTGGCCTAGCCTATAGTTAATATAACAGCCATTTTAGAAGAGAGATGTTGGACAGAAGCCATCCAAAGTAATTAAACTTTAAAACGCTCTAGTGTGTCTTCCACTAATCTTTCAGCATTCTCCAGCTTATTTAAATACACTTAATGGTTTGCTCATGAACTAAAAATATATAAAAAGAAACGTTTAATGGTCGTCTGCCTGTCATGGCAATAGCTGTTGAAAGGCATGTTTCTTTGATTTGTTTGGTTTGTTGTTTGGATCAATTAAGATATTCATTAAAATAATCTCCTTTGTGTCACTGTTTTAAAAAAAATTCTGTTATAATTACTCTGACTTTGTTTTGATTCTCTGTGTTTCATTTTCCAGAAATGGAGCAGTGTAAGCAATCCACTGTTTCTCCCATTGATCCCACCCCAGTCACAAGGCTTCACTGCTATTGTCTTGACATACGATCGTGTTGAAAGTCTCTTTCGAGTGATCACTGAAGTTTCAAAGGTTCCAAGTCTTTCCAAGTTATTAGTTGTTTGGAACAATCAGAATAAAGTTCCACCAGAAGGTAAGTCAGATACATACCTCAAACGTTTGGGAGAACACTTTTAATTCTAGTAGTAGTGGGCCAAATTCTGAATGAAGAGAGTGTATGCATTTGTACTAAAAACGAGAATGTTTCTAGAAATAGAAGTAGATTATACAGTGGTGTGTGAGTATTAGGAGCAAGAAAAAATGGCCGCCCTCGTTTTTAAGATGGGAATTGGAACTATATTTATTCACTACTTGAAGTAACCGATCTTTGTATTATGAGTTCTTATTTTTAAAGCTTCTGAGGAACAAATGATTCTTGCTGTCTCAGTTTTACTTGCTAATTGACTTAGAAGGTTTTCTTGTGAATTGAATTGAATATATCAGACAGTTGCTGAATATATCTCTGTTACTGGAACTTTTTCCCCAGCCGTGTTCACTGGATAGCTCTACATACAGATAGAGACCTGCCTATTTACTGAGAATTTTTACCTTTTTTAAAGTGTGGGGGAGTGGGGAGAGCAGAACCTGGGTTTACCACATTTTTTACTTGCTGTTTTGTGGGGTGGAATGTTTTCTTGACGAATATTTGCCAGACAGCGAACACTGATTTGTTTTAGGCACCAGGCTAAAACGTTTTTATGTCTCTAGCTTCTAGCAGTTTGTCTTTAAAGCCTTTAAGAATAGCTTTGTGTTGATTTGCTATTTGTATTCCTACCATTTTAACAGTTATTTGCTATACTGCTGATTTCTTCTTTATGTCCTCTTTGTATACTACATGTGGGTTATACAGGTCTTTTTTAAAAAATAAATAAATAAATAACAGGTTTCTTCATCTAGTCTGTTTCCATATCACTGATAGGTGAAAATGGTAAAACAAAACAAAACAAAACAAAACATAGGTTGGGAAGTCTGAAGCATTTTAGTGGTTTCTTACAATGGCTTCTGTACTGTAAGTGGCTGAACTTGCAATGTATCCACAATAACTAATAGCCGCATTGTTGTTTCAAAATAAGATTTTGCTATTTGCTACGTTGAAAATGTTGCCCATTACACTAATTCTTAGAATAGCCATTAGTTGGCTGCTGATGAAAAATCTGTATTTGTTGCTGTGAAAAGTAGTGGCTTTGAAGGTCATAGGTTTGCTTCTTACAGAGATTTGGTTATCTATAGGTATATATTTTAATAACTTTCTTCTGTGACCGCCGGCTACCCCCTTCATCTGTGTATTTTTAACACTTGGATAGCTTGTGGAATCTTTTGGTCTGCCGTTGAAGGGTTTAATTTAATTTGTTTTAATTCCAATGCATACAGTTCATTCCACCTAGCTTTTTGGTAGGACAGCAGAAGTTGACTTCACTAAGTCTTTCATTGGGTCTGTCTCTTGTAGCTCTTAATCCTTGGACTTCAAAGCCTCTACCATTTATAGCCTATTAAAGCCAGGAAGTTTCTGATGGATTAGGACAAGGAATGAGTTTGAAGTTAGTAATGCACACTGCTGTCAATGATAAGGTCTTGTTTATTTCCCTACGGTAGTATCTGCACTTTATGGCTATTTTCTTTTAATTGGTAATAGTAAAGCTGGGACTGTTAACCTGGTTGAGTATCAAAGCAGGATATCCTGGCTATTGCTATATAAGGAACATATTTCTGACTTTGAACAAATCAGATCTGGATTCTGTTGTTCTGTTGTTGTATTTTTGCTATGCATAGATAGGATCTATAAGCAGATATCAAAGGTAATTTTGCTCATTATGGCTTACAATAAATTGCATTTGGCTATTGTACTAGTAGCGATAGCGTCTCTTAGTTTATCCACACTGTTATAATGTTGCTGTATTGTGATCACATATCTTTATAAACAAAACTTCATGTTATTATTGCTTAATTATAATCAAGATATAAAGTAAAAATATATGTGCAAACTATAGGCAAAATGATAAAAAACAAAACTAATGATAGTGTTCATTAGAATAGGCGGAGAACAGTTTAAAGACACTCTGAGCCTCTTAGGTTCATCATGCAGAGGGCTGGACTAGAAGATCTCCAAGGTCCCTTCCAGCTCTATTCTGATTATTATTATCTTGTTTTTCTTTTTTTCTTTTCTAATTTGGTTTTATTGTATGCTGCTTGTTGTTATATTGTTTATACAGCCTTGTAAGAAGGCATATAATCCTGGCCTTCTCAGAACTCAGGCAGTTTCAGAAAAGCGTAAGTAGCTTTTCCAAAAAACCTGATTCTAACCTGAATCTTGATACGTAACCATCAAAATTCTTAAGTGAATCCAGAAAATGTACTAGCATCTCACCTAACCCATAAAGAATAGAGGTTACCTACTACTTGGATACACAAGCAATAGGCAGCTGCATGGGTACCAGGCAGAGCTTCTGAGTCATGCTTACAGACACTACCATTAATACACAAATAAATATGGTAAGGTGTGCCTTTTCTACATATAGCCAAAGCTGATAGAAGTTTATCTTTGCCTCTACTGATAGTACCAAATCCCAGAGAATGACCCAATTGTTCATTCAGTCAGGCCTTTCCAAGGGATATAATTCTTTCCAATGAGGTATTTGCATGTGAATTTGGAGAATATTGCAGGAGATGAACCGATTGCCTCTGTGCCCGCTTTCTAATTTATAATTTTACGATCCAGTGTTGGCAGTATAGATAGTCCTCGACTTATGACCACAATTGAGTCCAAATTTTCCATTGCTAAGCAAGACAGTTGTTGAGTTTTTCCCCGTTTTATGACCTTTCTTGCCCCAGTTGTTAAGTGAATCACTTCAGTTGTTAGGTTAGTAACATGTTCTTAGTTGAATCTGGCTCCTCCATTGATCATGTAACCTCAGATACTGCAACCATCATAAATACATGCCAGTTACCAAGCCTCCACATTTTGATCACGGGGATGCTAAAACAATAATAAGTGTTAAAAATGACCATAAGTCAGTGTATTTGTAACCTCAAACGTTTAGTAAATAAATGGTTGTAGGACTACCTGATTTCCCCATCCTGATTGATATTCCTTTATATAGAAAATAGGGGAATTCCTATTGAAAATAACATCAGTGGTAATAAATTATATTCCATATACAAAACTTTGTCATTGGAATTGTACGGGATCTAGGAAGGGGTCTTTACCGTGGCAGCCCCTGCCTTGTGGAATACCCTTTCCCTTGAAGTTTGGCAGGCCATTACTATCCTAGCCATCCAAAAAGCTCTTAAGATCTGGCTTTTCCCCTCAAGCACTGGGATAGAATGAGGTAGATGAGAGGATTTAAGGAAGATGTTTGAGGTATACCTTTGGTGGTATTTTATTTTATTTTATTTTATTATTTTATTTTATTTTATTTTATTATTATTTTATTTTATTATTTTATTTTATTATTTTATTTTATTTTATTATTTTATTTTATTTTATTTTATTTTATTTTATTATTTTATTTTATTTTATTTTATTTTATTTTATTTTATTTTATTTTATTTTATTTATTTTATTTTATTTTATTTTATTTTATTTTATTTTATTTTATTTTATTTTTTAATTATTATTTGTATCCGTTCTTTATTGTTTTTACAAATAACTCAAGGTGGTGAACATATCCGACATCTTCCTTCTCCTATTTTCCCCACAATAGCAACCCTGTGAGGTGGGCTGAGAGAGAGTGACTGGCTCAAAGACACCCCGCCAGCTTTCATGCTAAGGAAGGACTAGGATTCATTGTCTCCTAACTTCCTAGCCTGGCGCCTTAACTACTAGACCAAACTGGTTCTTTTCATATTTATGAGTCACCTTGTAGGGGAGATGGGTAGCGTAAAAAAATTAATAAATAAATACATAAATGGTTTTTATAGATATATGTATTATGCTATTGTTACTGATGCGTTTTAATTGTTGATTGGGAGCTATCCAGAAGTTGACATAAGATGGGCGGCTATAGAAATGTTTTAAATAAAAAATAATAATAATAAACTTTAAAAATTGGACTAAGACCTCACTGACAGAACTATAAAAATGTTAAAAGCAGTTTTGTAGGGGCCACCTACAAAAGTAGGTGGGGTAAGAAACTGAAATGATATTTCCAAACCTTTTCACTCTGTACTTTTTACTTTTTTTGTTACCAAGCCAGAAAGCCCTCCAAATTCTTCCAAGGTAAACTTTCTTTACATAGTTTTTAGTGTGGTTTGGAAAATGATACAGTTTTCCTAAGGAAGCTGTCTCCGGTATTATGTTTGGATGCCAACATCAGAAGTGTGTAGAACATTATATGCACATTAAGGGTACTCTATGTAAGTTATGGCATCATAATTTTCCTAGCAGCAAGCATGGATATCCTACCATGCTGTCTTTGCCAGTATTTCTTTCATGATGGAACTTAGAATGTTCTGCACATATATGTTCATATAATGGCATATAAAGGTGACCCCTGCCAGCTTTACATAAAGCTACTTGCAGTCTCTGCTTAGAATGGTGTTCACATTTTCATATCGAAATGTGAAATGATATAGGAAAAAAATCTTATTTGGGATAGGGCAGTGGTGGCAAACCTATGGCACGGGTGCCAGAGGCGGCACTCAGAGCCCTCTCTGTGGGCACATGCGCCGTCGCTCCAGTCCTAGGCCTTCAGCTGGGTTTTATAAAACCTTTTTGCTTTAGGCCTCCGCCGCCATGTGCAAAAAACAAAGGTTCAATCAGTCAACTTAAACTTCTCGCGGGAAAAAAAAAGATCTTGCAAAGTTGGAATTGATTGATTGAACTTTTTAGTCCCACCCAGTCTGCTGTTACCACCGCAGCCACGGCCACCCAATGGGCCACACCCACCAAATGGGCCACACCCACCCGGCACCCGACGATGCATAATTGGGTTTTGGATTGCAGTTTGGGCACTCGGTCTCTAAAAGGTTCGCCATCACTGGGATAGGGTCTCCCATGTTCCATAAATCAGTGTGAGCCCAGTATAGGAGGCACCTTTTGTTGACTTGTGTTGAATATTTTAGTATATAATCAGTGTTGTGCAAGTAGTCACCAATTTGTGTAGCACGTTTTCTTTCTGCTCCCCATTTTCTCATACCCACTGAACAGATACAACTGAGACAATACAGAATTCAAATTGAATCAAATTGGAAAATGCCCTTCATTCTTGAAGTATACAGTTAACATTTGGAAAGAGAGAGATTTCTAGAATAGCTTCATTCATCTTCTATTGATAGTCTGCTATATTACCAAAGAATTGTGCAGTGCTAAGCCATTGTGAAATCAAAAGAACTTCTTTTCATATGTTGACATTTCATTTTTAATGAACTGCATCTTACTCTGTGTAGGACTCAGTTTATGACTATCTAGAAACTTCAATTCAAATGCTGCTGGGGTCTTCTGATAGGGATACCCTGACTATAGAACTCATGACTTGGGTGCAACAATCTCTTTGCTGCCATCTAGTGATTGTCCAGATTTTTGCAATCCAGACATGGTAGCCCTAGTTCTATCACTCCCCCGTGCCGGCATTGAATAAAAGGACTTGATTTGGAGAGAGTTATGCTAATAACTTCAGCTAAACATCGGAATGCAAAGAAACTACTTCTGATTTTTATTTTGCAGAAATGGTTTGGCCTAAAGTTCGAGTTCCATTAACAGTTGTACGAACCACAGAAAATAAACTGAGTAATCGATTCTTCCCCTATGCTGAGATTGAAACAGAGGCTGTGTTAGCCATTGATGACGATATCATCATGTTGACCTCCGATGAGCTGCAGTTTGGCTATGAGGTAAGAAGGCTGCTAATTTTATGTGGTATAAATTCATGGCACTAAATTCTGCACTCGGAGAGCCCTGCCATCCTGCCCAGCACCACCCCAACTAACCTTCAATGTCTTTTTGCTCTTGCTGCTGCTGAAGCATGCCCAACCTGCCCCTTGGTGAGGCTGCTGCTGGCCACATGAAACCACCCAGGTCTCGCAAGGAAACCACCCTGCACAATTTAGGGAAGATAGCTTCGTGTCACCAGCAGCGGCTTTTGCAAAGGGCCAGGCTGGACATGCTTAGTAAGCATTGGGAGCAAGAAGATGGCAGGGTCAGTGAAGAGGCCAGGGGCAGTGGAGGTGAGTGGGCCCAAAAGGCATGGATTGGAGGCGGGGGAGGGGCAGAAAGGAAGATGGGGAGAGCTGAAGTGCTCCTATAGTCCTAAGTGTGGGCAGGCTGCCAAGTGCCTGAATTTTGATCATGTGACCTTAAGGCACTACAATGGCTGCAACTTTGGGGGTCATAAGTGCCTTTGTTAAGTTCTGCCATAATTTTGAATGGTCATTGAACGAATGGTTGTGGATCAAGGACAACCTGTAGCAATAAGGATTTTTTCTCTACATTTCTTATACTCATATCCTTATTCTATGGGCATTGTATACTGTGTTTAGGTTGCCCTTGTTTGACACAAGTTAGTATGTCTATATTTCATCAAGCCCTCCCTCCCTCCCTCCCTCCCTCCCTCTCTCTCTCTCTCTCACACACACACACACACTCTAGCTAGCAATCTATCTACATAATACATTTTCAAAGGAAATAAGATATGGATATTTTAAATGTACATTGATCTAATTTGAACAAGCCATTATACATTAAAAGAGTATACTAATAAGCATCAGTCTGGCTTATATTGAGAATGCTAAATTACTTTTCCAAGGTATCACAGTAATTCATCCACTGAATCAGTGAACTGCAGCTCCAAGCCTTGCACTTGAACTTCTGGGACCTTTTTGCCTATTTTGTCTGAAGTGTGTTGTCCAGATGCTTAGATTGTGCAAATGCTTAACAACCTGGATAAATCCTTGCATGAACTTGGTGCCCCTTGGATTCAGCTTCTTCTGTTTGAGTGGTGCACCTTACAGAAGCTGTTTTTGAAAATATTGAATTCCAGTTCATAAAATAATTTTGCTCTCTAAGGCAATAATATACAAAAGGCATTTTAAATAACTTCATAAAACAAACCTGGATAGAATACAAAATTCCAGTAATGTGAATTCTCCAAATTAAAATGATCAAATGCCAATATAACAGAAGCTGTTTTTTCAATAGTAGGGCTAAAGTGTCCTCTCTAGAAAAGTATAAAGGGAAAGAGGTATAAGTGTATTTTCTACCTTCAACCTACAAATCAGTGACTGCAGATCAATCTTTCTCAGACCAGAGTGTCTTTGACCTGCTTGACAGGTCTGAGCTGGCTGCCAGATGTTTAACTTGTCCTCAGCCTATAGTAATTTATTTATCTGTTTATATATTTCACCATGAAAGTATCTATTGGATTTCTTAGTACTTTGCAAAGGAAATCTGTAAGAACAGTAGCAAACTATAATGTTACAAGGAGGATTTCTTTTTTAGGGGTTTTGCTTCAGTCAGGAGAAATATTTGGAATTGGATATTGGCAAAGTTCTTCCCCTCCTTATTCTCCAGACTCTATTTTTAAACATGTGGTTGAACTTTGTATCAGCACAGACATGTCTGGCTCTATCGATCAAGCTTACTTATAAAAAAAAAAGAAGAAAAGAAGGGGTGCTTTGATCTCTGTACACTTTCAGCCATAAAAATTAAAGTAACACTCAAAGTGTCAGACATTTTTACTTGTTAAGAGTGAACTACTATTAGGATTCCTAATAATTTATTGCATGGTGCAAAACTACTGAAACAAGAGCAACACAGACTTTATAAGCTGTTTTGTTTAAAGATGCAGAAGCATATTTATAGCTCTGTGATTTTAAGTGGAAGTTTTGCATGAAGGAAAAAGATACTTCTCAGATTGCGTTGATAGAAGATAATGCATTGCGCTCTGAAGCAGTTAGGACTATGCAACATTTCTGCCAATCACCAGCAATTTTCGTTTACTTCACAAGAAGGTAAAAGCAAACATGCGCAAACATGAAGTATATATTGAAATACTTACAATTTTTAAAGTAAAGAGAATGAGTCTAGTGTTGCTTTCAACCAGGTTTTGCTGTTTGAAATCTGGAAATTACTCTTTAAAAAAAACCAAAAGCTTAACAATGCCCTGTGTAAAACTGGGGATTGAAGCAGCTTCTTCCCTGAAAGCAGTATATAAATTTATTGTATTTCTAGGTGTCCAAAATGTAACTTTCATAATTGGTGTTTTATTGACGAATCTATGTCCATTTATCTTTTGCAGTGCTGGACATGCTAGCTTAATGCTTTGAAAAGCAAGTTACCTGTCTCTGTATACTGCTGAGAATGCAATCCTAACTCCCAGATTGTCAGCTAGAAATTAGGATAGGGAACAGAATGCTTCCTACCAGTCAGTGAAAGGAATTATGACCACCAAATGGCCCCAGTTTTATCCTAGAGAAATTCATCTATATGGTTGCTAAGAGTTGATACTAATTTGATGGCATATCATTATAATCATCAAAAGCCCCAATAATGCCTAGAGCAGTGATGGCGAACCTTTTAGAGACCGAGTGCCCAAACTGCAACCCAAAACCCACTTATGCATTGTCGGGTGCTGGGTGGGTGTGGCCCATTGGGTGGGCGTGGCTGCAGTGGTAATGGCAGACTGGGTGGGACTAAAAAGTTCAATCAATCAATTCCAACTTTGCAAGATCTTTGTTTTTCCTGCGAGAAGTTGAAATTGACTGATTGATTGAATCTTTTTTTTTTGTACATGGCGGCGGAGGCCTAAAGTGAAAAGGTTTTATAAAACCCAGCTGAAGGCCTAGGACTGGGGCGACGGTGCACATGCCCACAGAGAGGGCTCTGAGTGCCGCCTCTGGCACCCGTGCCATAGGTTCGCCACCACTGGCCTAGAGTAGATCAGTTGCTCATAATAAGGACTATTGCAAGACAGTCAGAGGTGAGTCAGAGATGCCCTTGCATCTACTGGATGAAAAGTCTCTGCAATCCGTTAAGTGATACTCCTTTCCCTCCTTTCCCATAGCTACTGATGACGTACTTGGCTTTTTCTTACCTCTCCCCTTCCTGCCCTGCCTAAAACCACTTCTTCCGAACTAGTTGCATTCTGATCTGTTTTTGGAATTACGCTTTCTATTTTTAATGGTTTTTTACTACTTATAATGTTGTAAACGTTTTTAATGCTTTTTGTTGTATTTATTATTATTTGTTGTTTTTTTGTTATTTCTTTTCTAACTTTGTCCACTGCCTAGAATCATGTTTGTGAAATAGGCAGCTATATAAATTTATAAAATAAATAAGTAAATAAATAAATACATTGCCACAGTAGTGGAGACACATTTCCCTTTTGTGCAAGAGCGGAAGATTTAAATACAAGAAGAGCTTGTGGATCATTACTATAGAAGCAAAGAGTCATTCCTAAGATGCATTCACCAAGAACAACTTGGTGGGTGGGTATATTGCAGATGCATTCACCAAGAACAAATCTGATGGGTGGGTATATGGCAGAGAAAGAGATGCTATCTCTGTTAACTACAATAGGCAGTATTTTCATTCATTTCTTGCTTGCTTCTCCAACACCCTCTGACAATATATTTAATCTTAACTGTTCTTTGTAATGTCTTTGTGCTACTGAAATAAATTGATTGACTTACGGTATTCTGCAGGTGTGGAGAGAGTTTCCTGACAGATTAGTTGGATATCCTGGCCGCCTGCATTTGTGGGACCATGAAACAAATAAATGGAAGTATGAATCAGAGTGGACCAACGAAGTCTCAATGGTGCTAACAGGGGCAGCCTTTTACCACAAGGTAAAGAGTTGATCCAAAAAAACAGATGGGAAGCTGAAATAATGAACTTGCTTAGCATTGACTAGGGCAGTATTTTCAACCTCAACAACTTTAAAACGTGTGGACTTCAGCCCACAAATTTGTAGCTGGGGAATTCTGGGAGTTGAACTTCATACATCTTAAAATTGCTAAGGTTGAGAAATACTGGTCAAGGAAAAATCATCCTTATAGCCAAAAATAGGAAATCAAGAGCTTATAGCAAAATGTGACATTGATCCTTATATGTTCTTGGATATATGATATATAAATCATGATATATAGACATAAAGTATATAAAGTTCAGTCATTCAGTTTTGATAAAATACTTGAAATATCTTCTTACATCTTCTTACTGTAATTTTCTTGGTTCCCACTTGTGCAGATAGTCCCATTTAGTAAACACAATTGGGACCGGCAACCGTCAAGTGCAAAGAATCAAGAATCATGATTGTTAAAATGAGCGCAAGTGTATTCCATTCTTCCTTTAAACAAGAATCTGAACTACTAACAGTCAAGGCAAATTGGTGGTAGATAAGAGTCAACGGAATTCAAGGAGGGCAGGCCTTAGATCTCTTGGGGGTGAGAAGGGACTCCCAAATGATGATGTGCTTGACCCCTCCCTCAGATTCAGCCTGGTCATCTCCTACAGCAACACGATCATTAAGCAAAGCAATTGCTAAGGAAAACCATGCTTATGATCTTACTTTCACCTTTCCTTTCCTTTCCAGACCTGTGAAGCTTGTAAATGCAAGGATTGGCTGTAAAGTTACTTTTTTATCACAGTCATAATAGTGAATAGTTGCTAAATGGAGCAGTTGCTAAACAAGGACTACCTGTAGTTACTTAATTATTACTAGCTGATCTAGATGCAGAAGCAGTGAATTTAATGCTTAAAATGTACATGTTTGATCTTTGAAGAAATTATCCTAGTATAAAATTGAATTTAGTAGTTACATTGTTATGGGTATTTTAGTAAAAGCAAAAGTTATTATATCTCCACATGATGGCATTTCCTACCTTTGAATGACAGAAAGATGCCTTATATACTATGTTATTAGAAATACTTCTGAAAACTTTAGAATCCACTTGAAAGGTAGCATAGGGGAGGCTACATTTAAAGTAGCTCAAATTCAGCGCTTCAAAATGGGGCTAATATTATGACTTGGGGGGTCTCTTTTCTCTCACCCTATTACAATTCTCAGAAAGAGTTTTTAAAAACTATTTGTAGTTATTTGTACATTTCAAAGCCGATTTGCTGAGAGAATTATTTAGCAATTTTTAACAACAAATTGATGCCTTTGGTGGTATCTTCTCTAAACTACTAAATGGGAGATAATTCTAAGTAGCATAATACACTGGTTAAATTAAAAAAAAAACAAATTAAACTTTAACATTAAAATGATATGAAATGTTTAGTGTTAATATATTGCGCTGTTAAAGACCTTGTGGTCCCACATAGATGGGCCTCATGCAGTACTTACTAAGTTGTCTGTTGTCCTAGAGATCTCTTTTCAGTCAGAGAGCAGCTTTTTGGTAAAAGGGATCTGTGTCTTTGGAATACGTGTCTAATTGTTCTCTTACCATTTAAAACATTATCCTCGTTTGGTTTGATTCTTTGGTATTATATGCCTCAGTGATGTTACTATACTACTCAATGGAATTACAGAACTGCACCTAATAGGGTGTGGTCTAAACATTAAAAATATGTTTTAGATAAACTAGCACATTAGATGCACATTTCACATAAAGTTCAATTGGTGCCTCAATGCTGTTCATATAAAAACTAAACATTTTCCTTTCTATGCTATTTTCTCCTTCAGTATTTTAATTACTTATACACGTATAAAATGCCTGGGGACATCAAAAACTGGGTGGATGCGCATATGAATTGTGAAGATATTGCCATGAATTTTCTAGTGGCCAATGTAACTGGGAAAGCGGTTATTAAGGTGAGATTTTATTCAATTCTTCTTCAGGATCTATCATGTAGCACAGTGGTCTCCAACCTTTGTGGCTTTGTGGCCTGATTGGGGGGGGAGAGGAAAACTGGGCTGCGCAAGTGGTGGGCTATCACATACGTGTGCGCAAACACAGCCCTTGCGTGAGTGGTGGGCCGGTGCACACACATAGCTCAACTTGCGTGAGTGGTGGGACGCAGCGCACAAACGCGATTGCCTACCACCCTACCGCTCGCGTAAGTTGCTCTGGCTAGCCACTCATGTGGCCCAATTCCGAATAGGCCACGGCCCAGGGATTGGGACCCCTGATGTAGCAGAGTCATAGATCTCATGATTATATGAGCTTAATAGCTTAATAGAGCTCTGTGCCTCTTTTCTCATTTCTCATTCATTTTGAAGATGGTCCCATCTATTTGTAAAAGACTCGATTCCCCACATCCATACATTTTTTTGCTTATGAATATACTCTATTGCTTGTGGCCATTACGACCAGATAGTTGCAGAATTCGGTTTTCTTAGTAACTGCAGAAAATTAAGCCATTTTAAAATAAAAAAACAAAAAAAAACAAAACACGATTTAAGAGAGGTGAGGATGGGAGCGAACAATCCATCCCTGTCTACCCCAGCTGCAAAAGCTGATTTAGTAGACTGTTCACTGCAAAAATATTAATTGCAAGATCAGTCTTTATATGAACTTTTATCCCTGAACGAATTTCCTGATATGCTTCAATAACATTTTTGGCCTAGAATCTTACTTTCAGTTCATTTTGAAATGTGACAACTTGGAATGAGATTTAGAGGCCTCAAGGCATTTCTTCAGTTAGCAAGGTCTGTTTTCCTGCCTGTCCATCAACTTTTGCCCGGACCAGTGGTTATGTTTCTGAGAAAAGCCTTAAAAGATAAAGCTTGTGTGTTTGTTGTGAGAGATCCAAACTGTACTAGTGCACTGCTAAGTTGTACAGTTGGGAGAGCCTCTCAGAGTTTGCCAATCAGCTGTTAAATGAGTGAAGTGTGTCTGTTGGATTAAGGTTACAGTGAAGTATGGGAAGCTATATTTCATCACTTTTATGGCTGTAGGAACAAATGGTGTTTATACAGGAACCTTGGCAGTGAGAAAACAGTCATTAAACAGGAATTAAGAAGTTGTCATCACTGCTACTTTCCACTTACAGCAGGCAAACCCCGTCAGGACTATTTTTTTTTTTTTTAAATGGGCTACTTTGAACTTTGCAGTCAGCTAAGGCAGATGGAAGTAAATGGCATGGATGTATTTCTTCCCCTTCCATATTCAAGTATTTGATTTTCATTTACCACATAGGTTGCATTTCAGAAATGGCATTTTTTTAGTAGCGAGATTAATGTCTGACTGTTAAGTCTACGGTTATATTGCCTTTATATAGGTGACACCCAGAAAGAAGTTCAAATGTCCAGAATGCACAGCCATCGATGGGTTATCCTTAGATCAGACACACATGGTAGAAAGGTGAGTGTCTCATCCTGTTCTTTTCTCATTTTCAGTGCTTAATGTACTGTCATATTATCCTCTAAAAGATTATCTAATTGTGTCCACATGTTAGCTAAATCCATTGATCTATGTAAAAAAAAAAACCTTATTGGAGTGAGAGAACTGGTAAAATGTTTAATGTATAAAGGTACACATGCAATATTATCTGAATAATATTTCAGGTAAAATATATGAATGCCTATAATCCTAAAATAATAACTGCATGTAGTTTATGATTTCTCAGTTTGGATATTACTGCTTTTTGAAACAGGGTTAAATTGTTTTGAAACAATTTTTGATTTAAGCCCTTTGAGGCAGTTTCAGCAAGCCTTAATTGACAGGTGTTTGTCATCATAAACAAGGACAAATACGAAGAATAATTTTCAGTTCATATATTCAAGAAAAACAGTAACAGTTCAGTCAGTCCTTCCAACTTCTCATGAGATTTTTTTTTTTTTGTGAGAAGTTGGAAGGTCTGACTGAACTTTTTTTAGTCCCACAAACTCTGTTTCCTGCAGCAGGAGAGAAACGCGCCAGAGCTGGAAAGCAGGTTAGTGTTGAAATTTTTTGCTTTTGGGAAGAGAAGCGGCAGGAAACGGGGCTGCCATTTCCAGAACAGAGAAGGGAGACGCAGAGCGATGCAGGGCAGAAAGCAAATGCTCTGCTCTGTTCTGCATTGCTGCGCAGAGCCGCTCTGCTCCCCGTTCTCTCCAGTGGTGGCAACAGAGGGCTGGTGGAAGGAGGCGGCGGGGGAGGCTTGTGCCGCCCGGTCAAAGCAAAAGCCACAGGAGAGTTAGCGGAGGAGAAGGAGGCGGCAGCTGCCGCTGGGCATGTGATCTGTGGGGCGAAATGTGAAAAAAGCCCCTCCAGCAGCGCACAGCGGCAGCAGAGCCTTTCACCTTTATTCACCCCTGGCTTCAAAACGGCAGAGGGGGACCGGGCCTATCCCGCCCATCCTCCGAAGCATGGCAGTCCGGCTTGGGAGGGGAGTGAAAGGGAAGGTCGCCGAGCAAGGAATGGCCTGGCTGGGGGGCCCCTGAAGGAAGCGAGTGTGGGGCGCATGGAGCAACTCCCCCCCACCTGCCTTGCCTCGTGGCGACATCAGTGTGATGTGCTGCACTGCCTCCTGCCCCATTGTGGCAGCGAGGTGGGACAGAGTGGGTGGGGTAATAATTAGGGCTTATTTTTGGGGTAGGGATTATATTATATTGTTACATTTTATATTATATTATATTATATTATATTATATTATATTATATTATATTATATTATATTATATTATATTATATTATATTATATTATATTATATTATATATTATATATTATATTATATATTATTATATTATTATATTATATTTATTATATTATATTATATTATATTATATTATATTATATTATATTATATTATATTATATTATATTATTTATATTATATTATATTATATTTATATTATATTATATTATATTATTATATTTATATTATATTATATTTATTATATTATATTATATTATATTATATTATTATTATATTATATTATATTATATTATATTATATTATATTATATTATATTATATTATATTATATTATATTATATTATATTATATTATATTATATTATAATCAGCATAGGTCTTTTTTTCGGGATGGGGCTTATTTTCAGGGAAACACGGTATGTGTTCTCTTATTTCAGTCACCCAACAGCCTTAAAGAGAGATGTGAGATGATGGGTAGGGTGAATAAGAATCCAATATGCTTTCTAAAAAATGCGAACGCTTGCACGTTTTTAAATAAAAAACTCATTTTCATTGAGTTTGGACAACGAAAATAAACTACCGGTACTCAGTTTTAGGTTTTAGTTCTTAAAGAAATGTAATTTAAGTTTTCAAGCACAATCGTCAACGTAGATACCTTAACAGAAAGGAAGTAAATGCCAGTAGATATTTTTTTTAAAAAAAAGCCACAGGAGTATTTTTGTATTTTTGCAAGCCCTGTATAGTGCCAAATTTGACCTGGCAGTGATTGTTTAAGAGATATTTTGGCAATTAACCCACTGTAGTTTGCAGCATGTGCAACTGTTTAGGAATGTTTGGAATTCTGCTAGAGAGGGGTTAATGTAACTTTGACCACTCTGCATACATGAGCAGTTGACAGCAGCTCTTTGCCTTGATTATATACATCAGTCCTAGAGATTCATATCTTTCCAGCATGAGAGGATCTTTGTCCTATTTCCTACTTCTAATAGTAGAAAGGCATCACAATAACATTAATCATTTAGGTGCTACCTAATGCCTTAACCACATCGTATGTGTTTCATATTTGCTTTGCTCCTATTTAATTAAACTTTAAATAATTGGGGAGGACATGAAAGGGGGAGCTGTAATAGGTTGTTAAATAAACATACAGTGGAGCAATTTGTTTATAAGCATTCCATTTATTTATTTATTTTCCTTAGGTCCGAATGCATTAACAAGTTTGCCTCTGTCTTTGGGACCATGCCCCTGAAAGTGGTGGAGCACCGGGCGGATCCAGTCTTGTACAAAGATGACTTTCCTGAAAAGCTGAAGAGCTTTCCTAACATTGGAAGCTTGTGAAGGCCAGCCATGAGTGAAGTTGGAAATTGGAATCCAGCACTCCAGGCAGCAGCTGATGCTAGGAAAAATCTTAGGGACTGAAAGAATCATGCCAGGGAGTATTACCGAGAGAGGTCCACAAGAATTAGTGCTTTGTTCCTGAAAAGCTTTTCAACAGAGTGTAAAATTCAATGCAAAAAGAAGCAGTGGAGGTGAATTGCTGCACCGGCCAAACTGAAATGTTTGTTTGCTCTATAAAGATTGCATGCATAGGAATATACACAATGCAAAGTTTTTGATCACAGAGCAAAAAATGCTTCTTCTCTAAGGGCTGTTGTTGGTCCATTTTCAGACTGCTTTCTAGATTTGCTGCCCAGATGCCAGCCTCTTTGGCTGGTGTGCAAGGCCTGCGTTAGCACCTTTTCAAATACATTGTAAGCATTAATTCTTTTTTACTCGGTTTAAAAACAAAAAGAAAATGTGTATTGATGTTGGGGTCATTTTTAACGTTACAAGATAATTGAAGTTGAATAAAGCAGCAGTTCTTATTTTTCTTTACATTAAGGTATCTGGTTGTTAGTAAATTAACACATTTCATGTTTTCCATTATTTCTGCTGAACAGAAGACTGAATAATAGAATACCTTCAGATTAGACTGCATTTTAGGTATATAGAATGACTATTACATTCTTGGGTATTTTGATATTTCAAAATACTGCTTTCCTTAGCATGTTGGGACAGTTTTCAGTTGATCAATCACTAAATTAGGAATACATAAAAATGCATTTTGTACTTTGGAGCTCTTGATAAAAAAATACTGGATTCAGTTCTAACATTTATTTTTTGAAGGGAACCATGCATGACAATTCGGATTGTGTAATTGTGCAAGGATTCACAGAAAGCAATTTATCATCTTCTGAAAGAATTTACATCTTGATGTGCATAACTCATTATCACAAGATAATGAATATCCATCTTGTAAGCAGTTGATGCTGAAGTAAACATAAAGAACATACACCAGGGAATGAGAGAGAGTGTGACACCATTGCATTTCAAAAGTTTGTATCTCGTGTCACAAAATAAAAACAACTTTCCTGTCAATTTGAAAGCATAAGAGCCCTCCCTGAATGATGAAATTTGAAATCTTTTTTCCCTGGGCTGAAAGTTGTTTAACTGAAAAACTATTAACAGAGAAAATTAAGAATAGCTATTTGCCTGTTGTTTAAATCATAATAAAAACATTCTCTAACCTAAGATAGCTGATGTATATCTGCAGTAGGAATGAGTTCCTTTTGCATCAGCATTGTGATATTTCAATTAGGTGCAGTGTGGAACGTTAACATATTTCTGCAAGGCCTGTTTGAGTTTTTAGTGACCAATCAGTCTGTAATTACTACTCATGTGGTCTCCTCAGCCGCAGATTCTACTGACAAGCTGGGAAATTTCTTCACCCTATTACTTAAGTCTGAAAGAGGAAATATATATATATATTAAATATAAATTATTTTAAAAAATCATACAATGCATTTGTTTACCTCCAGCAAAAGGGCAGTATGGCCCTTTTATGTCGTGTGGACTTCAATTCCCAGAATTCTTGAGCCACCATGCTAGCTTAGGAATTCAGGGAGTTGAAGTCCACACGTTATAAAAGGGCCATACTTCCCTACCCCTGATCTAGAGCATCCTGGTAAAATATTCTTACTGCCATGAGCATACAGATAGAATACAAAATTTGGGGTTGGCAGCCACAGCATTGCTGATTCAAATGCTCAGGGAATGCATAAAGCAAATTGTCTCCTGTCATACTGGACTTCTAAATTACTTTTATTATTGTAAATTTGACATTACATGTATTGTATTGATTGGGATGTCAGGACATTTCTTCTACAGTACATGTTTTGAGGAGGCCTAATTTTGCCTCTCTTCTGAGTAGAAGTTGTCTCTATTATTCCTCTGTCTTCTAAAATGTTTATGCAAATTCTTCAATTATGTTTCTGCCATGGGAGCAGGCTTCTTTGGGGCAACCAATGCAAAGTTGGTTTCTTTTGCTTGTCCACATTCTTCAGTAACTAATTCAACATGTGAGGAGGGTTTTTACTCTGCTATGAAATATTATTAATCATATTAAGAATTAAGCCCAATATCTCAACATGTATAATTTATATTCTGGGTGATCTTGATGGCTGTAAACATCTTTACATTTCCTTCCTAAGAATGCAGGTAAGAGTTCCTTAAAAACCACTCCTGTTCTCCAGCTATGAAAGTACAGTATGGATACCTCTTATTTTAAATCTGATTCTATTAATTGCTTCCAGTGTTTAAAGCTGAAGCTCTGATTGCCCTTGACTCTTGTCCCCTGTTGTTTCTGTGTGCTCAGAGCTGCATAGTTGATTTCGTTTTATCTATTCCTTGCCAAAAAAAATTTCTTGAGTGTGTTTTGTCAATGTTAGCAGGAACAATTTCCCATACAATTAGTTGTGCAGATTATTTCTGAAGAAGGGAAAAGTTGGCTCAGACTTTGTTCAGTTGCATCATGGTTAATTATTTGGCTTGCAATTTGTCGTGATTAATATTTTATCCAACATTTGGATTAGCAGGGAACAGCATATTACTGGCACAATTTTCTACAACTTGGAAATGTTCGGTATGTATGATCAGTGTGCCTTCTCTTGTTGATTGCTCTGTGTTTTCAGCAGGATAATTATGCCAGTATAGGATTACCCCAAATTTTCCTTCCACCTGACCTTTACCATGGTGGTTTATATATTTCTTTGAGGATGCTAATTGAGCATTCAATTGTATCTGCAGTTTCTACTTTCGGGAATATAAATGGAACAGCAACATTTGGAGCAAATTCCAGTTGGTAATTTGTTCTTTTTTTAAAAAAATAAATGCATTGTTTTATTGTAGAGAATAAAATGCAGAATGGTAAAATAAACAAACAAAATGTAACAAAACAAAAACTTACATTCAACCCTAACCACACACAAAAAAGAAAAAAGATAGTATATAAAAAAGGAAAATGCAATCAATTAAATTTAACATTTAACGTGTAGGATCCACCCTGGCTGAGTGCTGAAAGAAAAGAAAAAACTAATCAATGCTTTTCCCTATATATCCATCGTTCAAAAATATATTTGAGTATGTCCAATGTTAAAATATTTTGCTTCATTCTGTATTAATCACATTTAAGTGGTGTTCTCCCTTAATTGTAATATTTAGTTCCTTCTGGTTTCCTTTAGTGTCCAACTTCCAAGTCTCATCCTATCCTAGTTTTTAAAGAGATTTCAAAACAAAAACATTTTATCATTGAAGGGTTTCTTATAATTAATTCCAAAATCTTATTTAGAATTCATCTGTACCTTTGGTCAATTTGTAACTTTCCAAAGCCCTAATCAAAGCTCTAATCACCTTTTTGCTGTTTATTGCAAAAAAGGAATTTTAAGAAATCATTAAATTTGTACAGGAAGTCCTTGACTTACAATAGTTCATTTAGTGACTGTTTGAAGTTATAATAGCATTGAAAAAAGTGACTTATGATTGTTTTTCACATGACCATTGCAGCATCCCAATGGTTATGTGATCAAAATTCAGAAGCTTGGAAACTGGTTCATATTTATGACAGTTGCATGTCCTGGAGTCATGTGATCACCTTTTGCGATCTTACAAAGTCAATAGGAGAGCCAGATTCACTAAACAACCTTGTTATTTACGGTAGTTAACAACTGCAGTGATTCACTTAAGAACTGTGCCAAGAAAGGGCATAAACTGGGGCAAAATTCACTTAAGTGTTTTGCTTAGCAAAATGTTGGGCTCAATTTTGATCGTAAGTTGCGGACTACCTGTAATTTAAAAAAATCACTAACAATTAAAGAAAACTCATCCAATACTGTCAAAACTTTATGGTCCAAAGATTCTTACTAGCTGAAAAGCAATTAACAAGCAATTTCTGAAAGTGTTTAGAAAAGAAAGTATGCAGAGCTTGTGTCCATAAAGACACTGATCACAATTTGAGCAATCATAGCATTGCCTTGTCTCCCAGAGGTCTAAACTTGCCAGAGATCTTGCAAATTCCTCACAAGGAACAAATATCTGGAGCACTTGTGGGCAGTCTCAAGTCCTTTCCTTGTCCAGAAAGAAATTACAAAAAGCCGGCCTATTTGCTGGTGCTTGATTCCCTTGCGGTCAGAATCTTCAGTTCCCCATTTCTTCTCTGGAACTTGCATAAGACACTTTTAAAGGTACATGACAAGGGGGGAAAAAAGGATCACAGTGCAGTTTTAAGTGTTTTGAATTCTATCTTCTATCATAGTCACACAGCAGATGGCAAGGGTGTATGAGAATTGTAGACCATAACATAAGCTTTTCTATGATGTACATCAGACATGTTAAACTCGCGATGTCAGGTGATGTCACGCAACGTATCGGGACAGTTTTGCCATTGCCGGCAATGGGGTGGGCACGACTTCCGGATGACGCATCCGGCCCACGGGCCGGCAGTTTGACACCCCTGATGTACATCTATGACATTTTAAATATGTGTAAAATGTGAATATAATGTATATGTTTGTATACCTGTCTAAGAGCTGTGGCTGGTTATTGCTATTTGTTGAACATATACTCAGTTGCAAATCCAACTTTGCAGCTGTGCCATGAGAAAATAATGAGGCGTGGTCTGAAATATCTACCTCTGTCCACCTGGATTCCAGAAATATTAACTGAACACACATTTGTATATTTGCAGATATAGGAAAGTTCAGTGAATGTTCCACCTTGAAATGAACCTAAAGTATTTCATATTGGTTTCTATACTGTAGGTTTCCCCCCCCCCCACACTGTAATACAAAGGTTATCCAGGAACCATATTTCTCAATGTTTGTGTGCACTTGTGTTGTTTTGAAAAATAATATTTGTAAAAACATGCTGCAGTCAATTCTATTTATATATTTACTTACTACATTTGTTAACTGCCCAGTTGTACAATTGTCGGCATTGTATAAAGCAAAATTCTTGGTTTTATAAAGTAAATTGAGAGTAAAATTATATAAAAGAGCAAATTGATATAAAATTGCAACATGCTCTGTGTTGGGCTGCTGTTGAATATAACTCAGAAACTACAAGTGTATGACACAGAGGTAGAACCCCCAGCTATTGCAGAAAAATATCTATTTTGAAACTGCTTTACCAGGGAACTTCTGGAACCAATTCAAAGTGATGCTGGTCACTTTTAAACCTACACTGCATAGTGTCAGGTTACATTAGGAATTGCCTCAGCAGAACAGAAACTGCCTGCCTAGTTCAATCATCTCAACAAATCTGCTGAGAATCCTCACCCCACTTCTTTTGACATACATGGGCTATAGACAATGCTGCCAACCTTCCCAGGAGTAGCCTCCCCGTGGCTTTTCATAAAGAAGTGTATATGGATATAATTCATTCTCTTTGGGTCTAAGCTGAGTGGGGGAACATAATGGGTTTTATTATTATTATTATATTTGGGTTTTTTAAAAATGTATTGTAATTCTGTTGCCCAGAGTCCATTGAAAGTACAATGGCCTCCAAATTCCATAAAATAAAAGGGGACGATTGAACAGAGGCTCCAATGGCTTGATACAGATAAGTCTTCAAAAGAGGATGTAGTGCCATCTCCTTCAAGGCAAGCAAAACTAGGGTCTAGGACAGGGGTAGTCAACCTTGGCTCTTTTATGACTCGTGGACTTCAACTCCCAGAATTCCTGAGCCAGCATGGCTGGCTCAGGAATTCTGGGAGTTGAAGTCCACGAGTCATAAAAGAGCCAAGGTT